ATTCCACATTATTACAAATAACTTCATTTCTGGACATTTATGGTTTGATTTCTTTGTATGTATGGATCACTTGGGTTGTTACCAACATCTGGTGAAAATTTCATGTCATTAGCACCTCTAGTAATATATTTACTGAGAAAAATGGTGACGTGTTCAATACTTATTTTACCCGCTGTAGCAGGTGAAGTCTGAAAAATTAACACGAGGGTTTTGTGACAAAATTGATTGATTGATGCTTGATGATCTATTGAGTGAACCTTACCTCAAAGATGTCGAGTTATCGCTTTAAAAGACAAACGTAACCTCGCTGATGCTTGTGAACTACGTTTAAAGCTGAAAACCCATGCCCAGAGCTGTGTTTCAGCTCCTTTTCTGTCAGTTGTCTTTAGACATGCTGCACTTTTTTGATTGACGTCAGCAGGCAGTTTAGCTCGAACGTGAGCCATGGCTTTCTCTGAGTAGGCGTTGCACTTCGAAAACGGGCACACGGCTCGGTTTTGGGTCAGTTGATCTATTCATAGACGTGTCACACTTCCACCTGCCTTTCATTCACTGCCTCTCCGCTCCCTACYCTTATAATTACCTTCCATAAATATCCTGTTTTATAAACCAGAGTCCCAGTCCGTGTGGCCAAAAAGGAGAGGCTGGATTTTTGGGTTAATGATTTTACGAGTGCTGTTTTATCGTGTAGTGATTTTACAAAAGGAGCAGATAGCTTGCTGACCCACTTGAACTTGGGTGTGAGTTTTTTAGACTTTTCTCTGTGCTTTTAAAGACATATATTTTCCTGTCTGCTGTACCTGTTCAACAGTCCTGGCTCTTCTTTGCCAGAAGAACCAGACCAGTTCAGTACCTAGACTCCTCTACTACAAAGCCCTGCTGTTGTAGTCAATGCTCTATGAGGTTTAGCATTGTCTTGCTGAAATATGCAAAGCCTTCCCTGAAAAAAGGTGTCATCTGGATGGAAGCACTTGTTTTAAAACAAGATTGTCAAACTCATTTTCATCGAGGGCCACATGAGCATTATGGTGGTCCTGAAAGGACCAGTTGTTAACTTTGTTTCATGTATTACTTTGGCTAAACATAAAGCGTCACGTTCCTCGTCTCATTGCTACGGCTGAGCACAGCTAACAAACATTAACTGAGCTCTATGTAGTATTTCCTGCATAGAAACAGTGTTTTAACATGTCTTAATATAAACACTGAAAAGTACTACATGTACGACTGACAAATGTGAAATAAATAATACAGAAATACTATTAAAAGCAAAGTAAGAGYGTTTACTCACTGTAGAGTTGTGGTGAGTTTTGAATTTTGAACTCTTCCACCTTTCAACATGAAATGAAGGAATATCTTATCTCTTATCTTAAATTCCTACTGGAAGGCTGTTCCATTTATGACTTTTAAATAGGAAATTCCTATTTCCCAGTACAACTGGGCTGCAGAAAAAAATACCTGGTAAAATGATGTGAAGAGATTTTACACTGTATTTCTCCAGCTGCTGGATACTTTAGAACCCTGTGCACCTCCACTTACTGGTGGGATGTCATTTTGCAGGTAAAATAGTCAACTTGCATTATGGGAGATGTAGGGTCACGCTTATTTTAACACATTACTTCATCTTTGAAGCTCTTGCGAACCACAGAAAATGCCATGTTTGGCCACATTTGGCCCATGGGCCTTGAGTTTGACTCATGTTTTAAAACCTGTGTGTACTTTTCTTCTTCGATGGTGCCTTTCTAAATGTGTAAGCTGCCTTTGCCAGATGCACTAACTCACCTCCATACCATCAGAGAAGCAGGTTTTTTATGGTTCTTCCTCTCTTTAGTGCAGAGAACGTAGAATCCACAGTTTGAAAAAAGTTGAGTACAAAGTTCTGTTAACATTTTTCTGAAATTGTTATTTTTTAACAAGTTTTCTCAGACTTATGAACCTTTGCCCATCTGAGAGATTCAACCTTTCGAAATCCTCTTTATACTCAAATTTCTACTGACCTGATGCCCAATAATCGAATTTGTTGCAAAATACTCCTACAGCTGTTTCCCATTTGTACCATTTACTTTTCCAGACTTTAGTTGCTTTTGTCCACAGTTTAAGAGYTCTTACTTACAAAATTCTAAATTATTCTCCCTTTTTATTTTGTTTAGTCTCAATACTTGATATATTTAATTGAAACATGAAAAAACAAACATGTCCTGTTGTAGGACGTACAAAGACAGAAGTAGATATAAGAACATTGTGCTTATGGTATAATAATGATAAAATATGGTCTAATAAATCTCAAACATTACAAAAAAGAAAACGTCTCAAGGATGAAGTCCTGAAATTAGAAGATTTCCCTTTTTAATCTTTATTTCATTTATTTATTTATTTTCTTTCTTTCTTTATTTGTTTTTTTTTTTTTTTTTGGGTTGGGGTAGTAAAACTATAAATGCTCTACATAATAAACTGTGATAGCCTCTGTGAGAACATTAAAGACCGACCATGTAAGCAACACTAAAACCAACATGAAACACAAGGTTTGTTTTTTGTGACTCTTAATTCTTCCGTCTTTCTCTGTTTCCTCTCCCTTCGCATCATCCCAGGTTTGGAAACCAGACGAGAAACTTCCGCCTTTACCACGACGGGAAACACTTTGTTGGGGAGAAGAGGTTTGAGTCCATCCATGACCTGGTGACAGACGGCCTCATCACGCTCTACATCGAAACCAGGGTGTGTGTGTGTGTTGATCGGATCGTCTAAAATATGTTAAATGTCTTGTCACGCTCACACAGTGACCCCTCTCTCCACCGTCAGGCAGCGGAGTACATCGCAAAGATGACTATAAACCCGATCTACGAGCATGTGGGCTACACCACTCTCAACCAGGAGCCAGCACTGAAAAAGCACCTGCCGCTCAGCCCAGAGGTGCACGATGGACCCGTTCCTGTCAAAGACCACTGCAACACAGAGGAGAGGGTGAGGACAGACTGAGACATCAGAGATCCAACGTGTTTCAAGTTATTTCTTGTTTCATTGATCTGAAGTGGAGTACACTCAATATACAAAGAAAATGTCGACATTTAGTCTTGGAAGAAACGTGTGCCGACAGAAACTGTATTGGAATTGTTCAGACTCCAATTAAATGCATTGGTTTGAAAATGAATTTCACTAAAGTGAATCTGAATTCAATTTAGTGGCTCAGTTGGTAGAGCTGAAGCCWCTCAGCAAGAAGGTCGCTGGTTCAAATCCCGGCCCGGGGACCTTTCTGGGTAGAGTTTGCATGTTCTCTCCATGCATGCGTGGGTTAATCCTTTCCAGGGTGTATCCCGCCCCTCGCACTGTGACTGCTGGATATGAGCACCAGTGTGGATGGTGAATAAYCGTGTATAGATAATGGARGGATGGATGAATTTGAATTTAAAGRTTTAAATATGAATTAATTTGCTTTAAAACTGTATTTTGCTGTATTAAAAATTCAGTTGGTCTACTTTCACAGTCAGTGCTATAATTTAGTTTTAGTTCCAAAATTCATTTTTTGTGTCAGACATCCGGGTCCTTGAGAAATCCAGAGTAATTAAACAGAACAATGGATTTATGTTTCACGTCAGTAAAACATAATGCATGGCTGAATTAACACACAACATGAGAGCTGGTGGATGGTGAAACACCACTTTAGATGTATTACTAATTTAGCAACTTTGTCTCTATATTTAGCAGGTTTTCAGACCGCTCTAGTGACTGTTTTTCAGAAAAGCAACTAGCAAAAAAYCTAGTGACTCTTTTTCTGGTGTTATTGAGTCTTATCCTGGAGAAGAGGCTGCTACAGATGAATGAATACAGCCTGAGCTGGAGGGAGTYGTCCAAAATGAACAGATATCCTGGGAAATTTGGGACCAACTGACTGCCTGTTAGGTGCACTTGTGGTTTTAAATGGTGCCAAAACACACCAAAAAAGGCTGACTACTGGACGATAAAACCACAAAAGTTTTTTTTTAAACCTTTTTTTATCTATATATTTACTTTAAGTTGCATGCTGACGATCCACCCACAATCACACACACAAGTGAGGTTTGCTTCCGGGGGTACATGGATGGAGCTGAACAGACTGGAACAGAATAGAGTGAGATCTGACAATGGAGAGGGGACTTTAGAGACTTATATGAACGCAGCTCTCTGATGAGCAGCGGATGTTGCTGTGAGCTCCTCCACGGTCCCAAAGCACCGACAGGTGGCTCAGTCCTCACACAGCGCCGCTCCCAGCTGCAGGCAGATATTCATCCCATCCAGACTCTAATCGTGTCGGTGCGACACTGCTGCTCACCGTTCCATGGTAGAATGTAAATTTGTAAATGTAACTATGTAATGTAATGTGCAACTAAATTTTGAGTTAGCGCTGCCCCCACCACTCTCTGTAATAAAATAACTGTCTTTTTTGTCATTTTTATGGTAGATTGCATCAACTTTGTTACATTATTGCTTCCTTCAGATTGAATACCTACATTGCAGAAAAGAAGCTTCACTGATGTGAAACTTAAATCTGTCTCATCTGTGTTTGATTACTGTGCCTTTCTAAAGGACCTGGATGTGCGACACAAAAAACTGAACTTTGGAGCTGAAATTGAATTACAGAACTGAAAGTGAAAGTAGTCAAACAACAGAAGACAGTTTCAAGACAAATTCATTTAACTTCAAACCATTAAAGGGCCAATATTATGTGTTTCTCAGGCATATATTTAAATACTATACCATAATAAAGTATCTATGTCACTTTTAGCAGTTTTTAAAACGCTGTTTTTATGTTTAAATAGAAAATAAACTTATCTTCTCATCACTTCCTCTTCTAAACACCTTGAAATTGACCTCTGTCTCTTTAAGAACCACCTTCCGCTTCCGTCCCATAGGTTTTGATCTGGGGGGGCTGTTT